AATATTATTCGACAGCCCGGTTTTTCCCCCTTCCCCCGCGTAGAAAGGATTTATTTTTATCGTGTATTTCGCGTATTTTATTTCTACGGGTCGCACATCTCCCACGAGACTTCAGAACTTCTCTTGTTTCCGCCTCCATCGTCTCGAATGGTGATCCTTTTTTGCGAAAACAAAAATTTTTTTTCTGATTAATCGAGAGCCGATCGACCGCACTGTGCATTCTCGAAAGCCCGTATTGTTTATTCCACGATTGGTAGACGCGATTGAAATCTTTCTCTCCTGTCGACCTTTGTTCCTCGCCTCTTTCAATTCAGAATGTCCAGCCACAGGCTGCAACCGTCCATTTAAAATATCACGTCCTTTCAGCGAATTGCTGGAATCTTCTTAAGTACTCCGTAATTTCGTCAATTCGAGTGCGCACGAAATAACGGCGTGAACCGGAGGAAAAAAATGCGATAACTTCACGGCGAATTATATGATTCGATACATTTTGTGTTTATGTTATGGACAAATAATGGAGTTATCATCGCGTCCTGTTGTTTGGTATCGAGTTCCCCGAAAATGGGTATTTTTACAAAATCAACCACTTAATAGTTGAACGTAGATAATGCAACATTTATACATAATAGGAGATAGCCCGACGCAACGTTAAACAAGAGTACATTAGAATGATCATAAATTCAGCCGGCGTTATATAAACGTTATATAAGAGTAATCATAAATTCTCCGGGTGCAACGACGATATCGCGCCATATAAATTAAAGTAAAACGAAGTAACACGCCCGCCCTGGCCGTCGATATTTCAACAAGAAGTCAAACGCACGCGATAGGACTGTTTTAATCATTCAATCATTTTTTACGCATTACAGCCGTATTTAAAATTGCGAATATCGACGCGTTTTACGCTGAAAATGTGAAATAAAAAAAAGGGAAGAAACAAAAAAAATGTTCGACGAATCCTGCAAGCGCAGCTCGATTTTCGAATAAACGTGACCGTGAATAATGCGTTGCTATTTGCCGAGAAGCGATCGTTTTGTTACTGGACACGGTAGAAAGATCGACACGCGTTTTGTAGCGACCGGGCCTCTCGTTGTCGCGAAAATCTCGCCGCTCAAGGCTTAATAACCGGGACACGTGGGGCACCCCGCCGTCCCTCGACGAAAGCGCGCCGCACGCTCATTTATTTCCGCGTCTTTTGCCGCGATAGTTTTCCCTCTTTTTGTCAGCGCGGCCGCTTTTTCTTCCCATGCTCTTTGGGCACGAAAGACCGCGAGCGTGAAAAAGAGAGGGTAGTAGTCGGGCGGTGAGCCGGGCGGCCGAGCCCGCTAAAAAACGCCAGCGCGGGCCACGATGACTTTCGGAATCATTTTTCAAAATGTCTGCCTCTGCCTCGAGGGGGGTGACCCCGACGGGCGGCGGTGGAGAGGGGCAGGAGGGTGGCAGAGGGGTGGTCAACCCCCGTGGCGTAGGGTGGCAAGATGGCGCCGCACGGTAAATCGATGGAGGCTAGTCACTGCAGGCGCCCTCGCTTTCACACAGCTCCAAACCCCCCTCACCCCCAGACCACCACCCACTTTACTACCCTCCTCGCCCACCCCCTCATTTTCGAGCTTCACGCAAGCGCCCGCACCGTGAATGTCGAGTCTTTGGTCATCTAAGCATAATTTCGCACCGGTCTAACATAGTAACCCTCATTCTACCAAAAAATGCAAAAATTTTTTTTTATTCTTTCTCGCGCATAAAAAAAAGTCAATTTTCGAGAGGAGCCTGATGTGAAAATTCGACCGGTCAACTTTCTCCCTGTTTTTTTCTCATTTTCGAGAGGACTCTACAGGAGGACGCGTTGAAAGTATGACGCTACTTGTAAACACAAACCTGCCGTCGATCGTATCGAGTCGCATCAGTCGACAAATAACGCAATAGGCGAAAGTAAACGAGGAGCGCGCGAGTAAACGCGAGCTGATCGCGTCCCGCGATATGATTTTTCCGATAAACCCATCTCATTTTAATATTCAACACCTGTAAACGCGCTGGAACAAAGGCGATAGCCAGCTACAGATCGGGGAGTATTTGTATTGGGCGCATCCCGCGATGTGAGAGCGCTTTTTCTCTCTCTCTCTCTCTCTCTTTTTCCCTCTCACCCTGTGTACAATACAAATTTCAAGCGGGTCGTTAAAACTGGTTTTTATCCCGCGCACCGCGAGCGAACCTGTTTGATTCTGTCTGAGAAACGCAACCGCCGAGGGCGAGAACCCGCCGTGGCTTTTTAAAAAGAATACACGCCACAACAGGTCTCCGTCTCTTAATCCTACCGCTCTCGCTTAACCGTCTCTCGCATCAATGTACAAATGAAAATTTTCATAGACACGTTAACGCTACCTCCTCCGTCTGCTCCGCCATCTCCTCGCCCCGGCTAATGCCCACGAAATTCTCATAAGCGCGCTCTAATTTCATTATACTAATTGGAATATTTTAAAATTTACGTAAACGCGCGACGGGCCACACGCGCCGCCGTAGGACTCAATTACGAATAAAACCCGCGAGTCCGCACGAATTAAATGTCTCGGTGGGAAAACGCGCGCCCGCGCATTTAGGAGAGGGCGTTTTCTCCAGCGTCGTCTCCTAGCGTAAGTCGTATATCTCGTGCATCGGCCGCCCTTCATCCCGACCGGATCGCACGCGGAACGAAATACCGCTTCGGTCAATCAAATCATCCCGATATCGCCCGCTATCGTAATTCCTTGTCAGGTGTTCGACATTGATGCTTCATCGACAATGCCCGTCTGAGATTTATGTACGTCGCGAAATGTGTTTCGAAACACCACAGATAAGCATCGGTACACTCACGCCAATAAAAGTCGTGCTGCCTTCGGCGATATCGCGATTTCGTAAATCATCGATAAGAAAAGCATTTATTGCTGGTAACCTTTGCATCGGTGGTTTTTATTAACCGAAACGTCCGTTTTGTCGTTCGAAATGCGGATTTTCTAACGTCGACGTACTAACTAAAACGCAAAATGTCCTTTTCCTCGGAGGAACACTTTGCGTATTTTTCTTCGTGCAGATCGACGATCTAAGCTGATACGATCAGCGGAATTTAGAGAACGAAGTTGACATAAATAAGCCGTATTTACTGCGTGTACTTTAGATTCTTTTATCTCAATTTTTTATTTTGCGTTTTATGATCTCAAAGAACATTATCTTCTCCAATACATTTCAAAGAGATTGTGTTTTTTCACATACGATATCATATTATTGCGTTTAGATACTTAATGTGTAGTCACGTGTCGTGCTTATTTCACTTCTTTTTAATTCTTATCCTCACTATGAATTATATTTTATGACAAAGTGTGTTAACTTCTATTTAAGAAGAATGCATTTTTTCGGTATCATCATCACATTCGAACAAGTATTCGTTTTCGTATAAACAGCTGTTTAACGCGAATTGTATTATGAGGCAGCTGAAAAATTAAAACAACCGTTTTTAATCGATGATTGTGTATTCTGCTTGTTAATATATTTCATAAGAATGATTGATATTGTCGATAACAACAAAAATAATTGACTGTCTAAAACAAGATTACAATTAAAAGCACGAACTGCGTGCAAAAACTCTATTCGTTGTGCCCGATGGCTTAATTATATCATTAACGCAATATTAACACGATTTTATTAATGCAATAAAATATAATAATGGTCTCAAAAATATTAATCTCTTTCAAGAGATATATTGACACGCGCACGCTGAATGAACTTATTAACCATTTTAAACGAATTTATTATTTAAATTATGCGATTTATCGGATTATCGTGTTGCAGTAAATGTGTCTCGTTATATTTTTAATGTTTCGCGTGTGAGATTTTCCCGTGAAGATAGGCCCTTCCATGTGAAACTTTTATGCAAATTTGAGACTTCGGTTGAAAAACAAAGTTTCTTAACTACACATATTATATATGATTTTTATCAAATTACATTTTTCAAGTGTCATTAAGATCTTTATTAAATTGATAATATTTGTCGATTAAGCGTATTGGTTATATATATATATATATATATAATCTGCGAGGATTGAAATTAATTAACGATGTAAAGCAAATGCAGAAAAACGACTAGTTTCGACGCGATAATAAAATTGATTAATAGAAAAAAAAGTAGCCAATGCCTTATCTCAATATTACTAAGATATTACTAAGAAATTATATAATTCTTTTCTTAAGTAATATCCCTGAAATAATTATGATCTGAACAGGAAATTTCAGGTGTCGTCGATCGCATACGCGCAATTGAGTTCGATCGAAATACATACATTGCCGACGTAATATTTGCTATGCATGAAAAAAATATTTTGTGTATTTTAACGATATACATTGTAAAAGTATTATTTCTTATAGTATTATGCGTACTCTTGTATAAACTTACGCAAAATAATATTTACGATCACGGCAAAAACAATAATAATGCTGTTTATTTGTACGCAAAAATCAATAAAAGCCTAAACGTTGCATGTTTCACGTAAATGCATGTCGTCGGTCAAAGTTAATCTTGGTGAAATAGTATCGGTGAAAGAACACATGTCGGCAAACATTGTTAACGAAACGCACGTGTTGCTAATTTTAATGTAACTTACGAGACATCTGCGTGGGAGGGTAAATTTATCTTATCTTACAATTTAATTGTCGAAGCATTGGAATAATCGCTTTATAAGCGTCGGTCTGCTCTGTTGCCGACAGAATTGTTGCGAACATGGAGAAACGAGTTTTGATCAGTTTCCTGCTCGTCTGCTGCGTGGCCGGTAAAAATGTCATTTATTTGATTCTTCGAGAATAAAAGACAAGTTTTGACGCGATTCTGTGCGAATTTTAATATACTTAAACGCGCACTTAAACTAATCACTTGTGATTTCTTCAAAGCTGATCTATAATACGCTGTCGTGTGTTCTTTATCATATTTTACACGACGAGCAAAAGCACGCTGAGTTACTCGTGTTTTGATTTGCAGGATCTCCGGCGGAGGAGGAAACGCTTCTTGACGAAACTAACACTATAAGTTTGACAAATAGTATGTTCAAAAAGGGAATGCATGTCTACGACGACGACGACAATTTAGTCGAAGTGACGTTTGAGGATTATAGCATGGTTGAAGAAATAACGAACGAAACCATAAGTGAACGCATTCTTTTCTATCTGTACACAAGGAAAAATCCTAACCACCCCCAACTGATTTACGTCGACGATGAGGAGAGTATAAATAATAGTAACTTCGACCCGGAGAAACCAACGCGCATAACAACTCACGGATGGATGAATTCCTACAAAAGTTCTGCGTGCCGCTTGATAAAGGATGGTATGTGAAATGATATTTTAAATATAAGGAAGCGCTACATTTTCTCTCACAGTGCGAGCGCTCATGTGAGATCTAGAGCTTAATTTAGACACGACGGCATCGAATCGGTAATCTCCTCTCATCTCAGAAAGGATTCTCGCGAACGCTCGTCGCTTTCCGTGTTCGCAGCTTACTTGAAACACGGCGACTACAACGTCATCGTTATCGATTGGAGTAGCATCTCTTTGGGGCCGTATTTGTTGGCTAGCAGACGGGTAAAGACGGTCGCACTTTATGTCTCCACCATGCTCAACTTTCTTAACGAAAAAGCAAAATTGAATTTCGACGAGACCATAATTTGCGGACATTCTCTCGGCGCCCACGTAGCTGGACTGGCCGCGCGCAACTGCAAAGGCAAAATCGGTTACGTCGTCGGTAAGTTTTTCACGTTTGCGATCTAACATCTGAGATCGCCGGTCGATCGATCGATCGATTAGTCCCAAGCAATCCGTTAATCCGGCACGAATTCGCGGTTTTCAGGAATGGATCCAGCCCAACCCTTTTTCATGTTATCCCCTCCTGGAGAAAGGATATCGGACAGTGATGCGAAATACGTGGAGATTATTCACACAAACGCTGGTTTTCTTGGTTTATTCAAGGCCGTCGGTCACGTCGACTTTTATCCTAACGGAGGAACTAAACAAAGCGGCTGCGTTCTGGACATCGGCGGCGCGTGTTCCCATTCGCGCTCGTTCAGGTTCATGGCCGAGTCCATCAACAGCGATACAGGGTTCTACGGGGTACGATGCAACTCTTACGCGCTATACTTGGCAGGCTTATGCAAGAAGAATGTACTGGCGATAATGGGCACTCTCCAAAAGAACTTTGACACGAGAGGTAGCTACTACTTGTCGACTAAATCGACGTCGCCGTACGCGCAAGGGAAGTAACTTCCGGAACGTACCGATCTGTAAAAGAGTTGCTAATTCACGTAGCATCTGTCGTCATAGCGAAGATCTCGCCTCCTCAATTCATCGCAGCAACGGGAGATCCGCGCCAGGCTAAACTCGTTCCTCTCAACGATCGATCGGGCGCGTTCGCCGTGCGTAATTGCGTTTCCGTCCGCAGCGGCTGTCTCAAGCGCGTCCGTCGTCACTTTCGTCCCGGGTATTTTTACACCGTCTGAATCTGACTATCGGAGAGCGTCGATACCCCGTTACTTATCGCAGGCGCCGGGTGAAATGAAAGCAGTACGGCGGTTCTCCTCATCGTCGACCTAATTCTCCGCGGCGCGTAAACGCGAGCGCAAGACGTATTTTGCGTCTCGCATGACGCATCGTTACGTTTCATCGGAAATGCAAAATATATGGAAGAACCGGGGGTTATAAATGCAAGCCAAGTAGCGTTAAGTACGCGTATCAATTTCCCTACGCTGTCTGTTCCTCGCAGCGGCAAGAATGCCTCTCTCTCTCTCTCTCAGTACACACGCGCAAACATACATCGGGGAGATACGCGGCCTCTTGAAACGCGAATCGACTCGAACCAACCCCGCGGAACCTTAGCCGCGGTGCATTAAATTTTATCGTAATATTTCCCGTGTATATCGTGCGCATAGCAACAAAGATAATAAGGCGATGTGGAAAACAGTTGGATTAAAGCACGCGCTGAATTTTAGGCTCCGGGCTGTTTCGAATAAACACAGACGTGGATATTTATCATTTTGGTATAATGCACGGAGAGATAAAGCCGAAAAAGAAGGAAAGGGCGATTTTGCAAAGAGAGTCCGCTCGGGTTTCCTTCGTCGAATAATTTTAGCGTAGATGCGAATGACGTCGCTCGCAGAGCCGACGACAATTACGACCAATCTGTGTAAATGCGCGAATTGCATAGTTGCCGTTGCCGCGAAACAAAAATGCGACCGACCGAACGATTTCGCGTCGCGGATCTCCGATGCTAAACATCGAATATTTTATCGTGAGATTAACGCTGCAATGAAATATGATAATATCCAGTAGTTCACGTCGATAATCATTTTCTTAGGGCACTCTCTCTCTCTCTTTCTCTCTCTGAGGTACAAATAAAATCATCGTATTTGTGTATTTGTGTATATACAAAAAGTTATTGTGTGTACGCTTTATTCCCCGACCCACTGAGATCAATACGTACGAGAAACAAGAAAAAAAGGAAGAGAAATGAAAATAAAAAGTTCGCAATAGAGATAGAATATTTGATTTGAAACGATTGATCTTCGGCGCTAAATTATGATGCGATATCTGTTACGAGCTCGATAAGGCGTCGAATGTTTCCATTGTGGAATATACCCGGTGCATCGATTGTTCGCGCTCGCGATTGAAATATCCGCGATAAAAGTTGCCGGAGCCGCGGCGAGTCTCACTAATGAGCGAACAATGGGTTTGCCAGGTGCAAGCGAGCCACCTAAGATGAATAAGGTTCCCGAACTGGAATGGTTAGACCGGAAAAATCCTGACGCCGGACGTCCCAAACAGGAATGTACCTTAATTCAATTGCAAAGACGTTCCCTTGAGCGCTGGCACACGCCAAAGTTGAATCAAGTGCGACGATTCTCCGATGTATTATCGGCGGTTGTAAAGCGATGCAAGATTGCCTGTGAAATCGTAAGAGTATGTGGAAAAAAAATAATTTGTACCGCGAAGGAAAACAATTACCAAGTTCATTTTTCCTCTTTTAAGTAATGGTTACTTTAAACGAGAAATATTTTTTGGATAATAGTATTAAGATATATTCATCACAAATATTAGAAAAACTTCTGTTTACTTATTCAAAGTAACCGAATTTAACTTTTCTCCGATAAAGTTTATAATATTCATGAAAAAAAGAACAAACTCTTGTTTTGAGTAAATGATAATGAGTTTTTCTAATATCTGTGATGAGTATATTTTAATATTATACAAAGAAAATATTCTTTTTTCAAAATAACCATAACTTAAGAAGAGAAAAACTAACTATAATAATAGAGCAATTGTTTTTCTTCGCAGTACAAGTAACATTTTTCTCTGTGTATACTCTGTGCATCGTCTTTCAGTTTGCACAAATGTAAGTACAATTATATCGTGACTATTATTATCGCACAATTGAAGGAAGACACGTGCGGTTTCATAATTTTGTTTGATAATTTAGACTGTTATTATCTCTTTATTCTCGGATATGCCGATGAATTATGTTGTATGCAACATTGTTATTTGTCAAGACGTAAGGTGAGCGAAATCTGAAGTGGTGTTACGCGATGAGCACAAATTTACATAATACAGCGCGAGATAAGATTTGATCAACATGCATCCCCGGAAGAAGCGAATAAAATGTATACTTCATCTCGTGCTTGGTCTCTCATCGGCATCAGCGTTGCGCAAAAACGCGCTTCTAAAACGATGACCCACGGTAATTTCTAAAGTCTAAACACACAAAACTTGCCGCGCCCCCGAAGAGAGCGCGTCGTGTTCAATTGCGGGGGTAATAATTCTTCTCCGGTTTGACGCGGCTGTCCGGAGTGTAGGTCAAGATTAAAACCTAAAATTGACGTCGGGGAAAAATTAAAGTTGTAAAGTTTCTGGTATCTATCAACGCGCGAGACGGGTCCATATATATCAGCATACGTAACGCTCGCCGTCCCGGTGTCTTGACCGCGAAAGTGTTGTCCCGCTGATCGCAGTTGCAGACACGAGCTCGCCACGGACCATTTTTCCCCCGGGCCGAAACAATCCCCCTGCCGTTCATTTTTCTGAAAGTATCGACACCGTACGGAAATTTATTTGTTCTTTTTACAGTTGATATTGTTCAAGGATACCATCGCGCGTACACATGCGCGCATTTCAATCGGAGATACTTAGATAAGCATACACGAAAATAAAGAGTACAGGTGCGCGTTTTTGATGCCGTCGCTGTAATTAAACAGAAGCGAGAAACGGCCGTTGAAACGAGCGAGTTCTTATCGAATTATCGAGCCGGTGCAGAACCAACAGCGCGATGTTAAGTAAATGACACGACGACGTATGAGAACGCTCCTCGCGATAATGTGAAAGACGCAGTTAAATAACGATTATCGATCGTCAAGTGGCGGCGTCCCGAAATGTCAAGGACAACGTGCCGAGTAAGATAGGATTATCGGTTATCGTAAGAATTTTCTCGCAAGATCGACGTTGATCATTAATGTAAGAAATTATATCGCGAGGTCTATCGTATATCTACATCGAACAAGTGCAAGAATACGAGCGTAATCACAATATCGTCCGACGCTATCTTTTTATGTCGAAATTACCGATCAAATAACAAAAATGCGGTGAACGACGGTGCAACGCACTCAGCTTCACCCCTTTTACTTGAGGTATATGTAATAATCGTTGCGCTTCTCATTTTTCATGCGCTCACGACAAGTTCATTCATTGACACGTCAACACGGTCGGACGGTGAGTACGTTCAAGATAGTTTTTTTTTTTCGAGAGATGTATTTTATTTCAGAGAGTTAATTCTTTTTTTCTACGGACATACAAAGTATGTTCGGAGAGACGCCACTAGCGCTATAAACGCAAATGTTACCAATACTGTTCATGGAAGCAATAGCGCGAATAATATACAATGAAAGATCGCAAATGATAGTGAAATAGAATAATGGTGACTAAGACGCAGAATGAGACGATTCTGAGGATAAAGTTTAAAGAGTGAATCACCTAATAATCGGACTATCCCTATTGGGGTATCGGATGTCTTAAGGGTGTTCGACGCTCTCATTTCCCTCTCTGAGTTAACGCGCTCGGAATCGTCATTATCGCGGCACGTTTCGGAGCTTTCGAATTATCGTATGCACGCGGTTTTCCATCGGGCTGCGCATCGCGAAGTACTTTAACGGTACATATGTGCGCGGACTACATAAAATAATTGCTAAATGAATCGTGCCGCTGTTTTTCCCCGCTGTACTTATTAAGCGAACATTTTAATTAACGCGGCGATTAATCACGTAGATCACACATCCGGTCGTCACGTTTACGCAAATATATTATTTACGCGTTTCCAAAGAGTATTCGTTTCGATTCATCGCGTCTGTACGCGTCGAGGAAATGACTTGATAATTGCGTTATACGCGTAATTGCGGCAATTATGTCTGATTTTTGACGAGGAATTATACGGGGGTTTTGAAAATGTTTTCCCAACTGAGGCTTTCGGGCACACGAGACGCAAGGATCCACGCGTGTGTCAAACCAGGTGCGCAGATGAAATTTCATAATCAAGGGCGGGGAAGGAGGGTCCACTCGAGAAAGAAATCGTGGAGCAAGTAATGGCAGGGCAGGCGACGGAAACGCACAATTTTAGATCGTAAATACGTAACCCGAACCGGGATGGTCACTTACGTTTAATTGGTTCTTATAACGGTCATCTTAATTGACCGTGCGACTATTATCGGATAGGATTACCGTGTATTTATACGGTACCTTATGCTTCTCGCCGTGTGACTCAACATCGATCGCAGACAAGATCGTCCGTTCTTGGAATCGATTTCATTATTCGTAGTAATTAACGCGAGTATCTCTACGGGGGCGTGCGAGCGAGGCGTGTGTCTCTTAAATAAACGATAATAATTAATGTCCGTCACGAACGATCGGTACAGACGATACCGTAAACGCTTTTTAGACGCTTGTATAATTGCGTGTGCAAATTCACTCGTCTAATGATGATCGCGCGATCGTCAGAAGTCGCTTCTAAGCCGCCTTTTCGCGGCGTTTCAGGAAACTGCCTGAATAAAATCATGTGTATGGCGATTCACGGAACGTACGCGAGGCTTTCCAAAAGTGGTCAAGGTGGGGCTGGGTGGACAGGTCGTTAATAAAGCTTGAAGAAGGGCCATTAATCACGGGCTATCTCGGAGTCGAGCTTGCTCGTGTAAATACCCGCGGAGATATTTACCCGAACGCGCGTAAGTTGTGCGTACGCGCGCGTCGTCATCTATTTCCTTTCAACCCCGCGCGGCGCGCGTCTTCCGACGATCGGTGTGGAAAGAACTCGACGATAAAAAGTGAAAAAGCGCGACCGGGGGACACCCTTAGTCCAAATATTGGCTGTCCATTTATCAAGCGCCGAAGATTCGATCCGCGCTAATTAGCTTTCCTCCCGCGTCGCTTCTCGGACTTTGCTTCAGTATCGCGCGCGCGACGACTCGTGCATAACGCTCCTTTATTTATTGCTCTTTTGATCTTGGCTCGGATGCGTTGATAAACGACCGGTTCGTATCGCGAGCCCGATTCGTCGCCGACCACTAAATCACACGTCGGCCAATGACGAGCGTATTGGTCCATTGACTTTAGTTTTATCGTAAGAGAGTCGAGGGAGGAAACGTCGGGAATGAATTACGCTACGAAAGAGTAACGTCGCGTCTTCCGCGCGTGGAATTCTCGCGCCGATCGTATAGGTGCGGTCTCGTAGAATTAAATCTTGAGTAATTCCGCGGCGGAACAATTATCGGAAGATTTATTCACTTATGAAACAATGGTGGAAATATGACGTTAGTATTAAAGAAGACTGCGAGTCTCCCGCAGGCGACCTTTTTCGTCTCGGATAAAAATAGAAGCACCATATTGAATAGTATTCTGCGCTTCAATCGCGATACCACTTCATTAAAGCGCTCATTCCCGCGAGTCCGTCTTTCGAGTCGCTATACGCCCTTAAGTCGCTATTTCGGTGTTATTTAAATCGCTTCCAAGAAAAGAAACAGTTTCTTAATCTCGAAATAAAATATCTTTCATCATGTGAACAAATTCAATGGAATTCGAAGAATGTTGTCACCAATCGCCACTTGATTGCAAGCCCATTCATCGATATGAGACGTACAACTAAATTCACTGATAAATCGCCGGCGTAGGCAAACAAACGCAACCCCCTATATTTATTTATCTGCAACGGGCACGGTTGGCAAAGATGGCTGGCCACGAACGTGCTACTTGACGTCAGCCACGCTGCTGGATTCAACTTGCGCGCACACTTGTATATACGCATACGTGCGCATATGCGCGCACACACACACACACAGGCACACGTGCGCATAGGGCGTCTACGTGCGTATATATAGACATACACACGTACAGATACACGAGTCACACGCGAAGGCGCCGGTCGGGTCGCGAACACGAAATCGCCGAAGACGAAATCGCCGATCGCCGTCTTCGCTCGAACGACGAAACGCGAGAGCGAAGCGAGCAGTTGATGCAACGTACGACTGGCTGGTGATGCAACATAAATTAAACTGCATAGGTCGCCAGCACACCCCAATCAGCCCGGTGTCCCATGGTCATCGTGCAGCATTATCGGGCGCGCTACGCGCGCTCGTGTGCGTACGTGTATGCGTGGGCGGGAAGCGCCGCGGCACGCGCTCTCTCCGCGCTTTTGTATGTGCAAAAATTGGCATTGCGCGAGGGTTACCCGTTCGCAACTCTCGCATCGATGCCGACGGGGATGGTCGGCAAAAATACCACCCCCTCCCGCCCCATCCCTCCGCACAGTTCATCCCGATTACACATTCGCTTTCTGTTTGCCGTCATCGCGCGACGCACGATTATCGGTGCGTGACGGACGAGCTCTTTCGGGCGTCTTCGCGAGATATCTTGCTTCTTATTTAAATGTGAGCACATGTGTGTGTGTGTGTGTGTGTGTGTGTGTCGCTTGAAACAATTATATGGTTACGAGCTTGTGATTCCCGCGTCTCTACAAGATGACGGACGTTTCAAGATTAAAAAAGAACGCGACTTCCCGGTAGCCGAGAATCTAGAAGCAGGACGAAGTGGCCGCTCGAATATTTCAAGCAGATGAAACATCCCCGAAGCATCGCCCTGCTAGAATATCGCGCGCGATCTCGAGCGACGAGGTAACGAGGCAACAAATATTTTTCGATATTGTCCGACAAAGAATCGGAAACGTTGCCGGAAACAAAAATGACACAACCGCGTGCACGCGCACTCCACAAAAGTGGCCAAAACGGAAAAAGTGGATCGGGAGACACCATCGGGATCCGAGTACCCTCGGAGGATGCGTTGCGCAAAATTGCATTTAATGTTGTCAGCGTATCAGGCGAGCGAAACAAAAAGAGCGCGCAGCGAGAGAGATCGAAAATACGAGAATATGAGCGGAAAGAGGAGGAGAGACTGAGCGAAAGAGCGAAGGGACAGAGTACGATGATGAGAAGCGGAGGAAGAGAAAGAGAGAGGAAAAGGGGGCGGGAGGGAGGGAGGGAGAGAGAGAGAACGAGGCAGAGAGCGTCGGTACTTTTTTAATTGAAAACTTGAGTGTCCTTGCGATCTTAATTAAAAGCCGAAAATCTTTAACCCGATCGATTGGACAAACAGGGAAGACCCTATCGGCCAGCTCGCGTTTCGCCAATGGTCGCTCGCGATGCGCACACTTTACACAGCTGTTTCCGCATTTCGCTCGCTCTCTTTCCGCTATTTCTACACGTGAATCGTTCATTGCGGATAGGACACGAGTCAACCATTTTGTGAATGAGAGCGAGTTAGGAGCGTCAATTATTTTTCACCTTCAACTAGATATTTCGTAAAGAGTCCGAACGTATATTGTGACTATAAGAATTATGTCTCGTTTGTAATAACATTAATAATTAACAATGCAATCCTTTCTCGAATTGGCGAAAAATCTTGTTTTCTAATACACGTAAATGTCATTTTCAACGCGATGTCTGATTCATTTCTCCTATCCCTTCCCTTTCTCTATCTATCTATCTCAAGGCCCTCCATTTTTATCATTCCGTAGGATAGTCTCGCGTGAACACCAGCTTCGAGTCGAACTTTATGAGTCGGCGGCGATGGCGAGAGCGCGGCCACTTCGCGAATCTCGACGAAGATATTAAGCGAGCCGTGCCGGAGGAGACGCGTATCATTCCGCGATGCTCGAGCTGCTCTCGTCAGCCGGCTGCGGCCGGATGATCGATACTCGATAGTGCACCGGCGTCGCTCCTCGGTGGTATCGCGACAACGTTATGCAGCGGCTTCCTCCGCTGGCTAATTTCAACGTAAAGCGAGACGACCGCCGGGAATATCAATAACGTTGAACCCCGCCGCGCCGCGCCGCGATTCCGTTGCTGGGCTCCTCGTTGTTTAGATAATAGACTGCGCCATTATATCGTTTCGTAATGGATCTACGTGCGTTTTCGAACGTAAGCTACAGTGAGCGGCAGCTTGCTCGCCGGCGCTCCCGCCGAACGATACGCTGCTGTTGCCGCCGCGGCCGCTGCCCTGAAATTATTGCCGTTCTCCGATTCAACCGATACTCATTATTGTTTGAATTATGAAGACTCCGCTCGGCAGGTTCGATTCATTGATTTATTCCGCGAGCCCCGACGTTCACCGAAGAGGGAAGCATTTTAAGCTCATCTGACGCAAACACGGAGACAAATAATATAAAAGCGCGATAACTATCTATGAGCAGAGGTGAAAGGATATCGAAACGAATATATCTACTGTCACACACAGCACTAGTAAAATTGCACCAAATTGTATCTTGATTGTGTAAAAAACGAGAAAATATGAAAAAACGCCTGGTAGAATGCAACCCGCGGTGCTGAAGAGCTTCGAAAGAAGATCATTCTTTGGGTGTTCATCGCACTTCGAGTTTTTCTGTACCGGAGACATCGGTTCGTCTTTTGCAGTTTTTTTTATTTTATTCTCTTTTTATATTTTTTTCAGTTTTTCCATTTTTTAAAGAGATTTTTAATTTACGCGAATTGGGCATGCACTCGTCATTCTTTCATGCTATCGATCCGATTAGGGATCCTCGTTACCGACTTTTCCTCCCAGAGACTGCTAGAGGCTACTTGAAAGCATAATGCACATGCGTAAAATTTGCTTAGTTGATGCGTCTACTGACAGATGGCACCATCGACCTGCTTAAAAAGGGGCCAAAGTATTGTCCACGAAATTCGTCGACGGCCGCCGGATATTTATTGACTCAGCCTGATCTCTCATGAAAGCGTAGACTTAGGCGCAGCGGCAGTAACGTGAGATTAATGAGACGATAAAATGAGACGATAATGTTCTTTTTGTCAGACGACGCCGCGATATTGAGATGCGATGTAATTACTTTTGTATTACCTTCTTAAAATATCCTCGAGATTATGCTATTTTTGCAAAATCATAGAGATTTCAAAACATGCCAATATACCGTATTGACGAATGTAACGCTGTTTAACTCGTACGTGACAAGAAATATCACCATCTTCACAAATAGACACTGGAAACGAGCTCGGACGATATGTGACGATGTACATAAAAAAAAAATGCATTACAACCAGCTTATATATAATTTCTCGGATGTAAGCACGAACAAAAGACGCGGATAATATCGCGTGTGTAAAAGCGAGCTACTCCAATACCTAGAAATATAAAACCGATCATTCGATCGAGGTCTTGAGGAGGTCGTAACGTTTCCCTTGCAACGCGAATACAGGGGATGCAAGTTCGAAGTCTAGCGACCCTTCGACAAGGGTGCATTGGTATGAATAGTCTACCCCTGTCCTTCGGGGGCCAATGAATTCCGCGCACTGATAATCACGCGTGTCAGTATGCGTAAACTCGCTCTCGCTCGTACGACCTCGCCAAGACCAGGCTAATGCTTTCGTGCTTATCCGAGAGACAACGTCGCGTCCCGCGGTCATTTCGGTAAATCATTTTCGGGCGAGACCGGTCGAACTTTCCGAGTGCGTGCTTCTCTTGAGGTTTCAAGAGCCGTAGATTATTCACGGTTCCGCTCGCGTTGAATTATATAGCATCCTAGTAACTATCCTCAACGGATCGCTTCTGAATTCTACCGAAATAGATATCCGGCTTTCACACGGCGTATCGGGCTCATATTACAATCGGTAAAGTATTGATCTCTCTCTCTCTCTCTCTCTCTCTTTCATTTCGGTCCATTAAAAAGAAATTCGACAACATCCTGTCTAAACGTATTCATGCGATTCGTTTCTATTACGAACGATCGAATTCTTAGCAATGATGAATCCAGTTTCCTTTTCTGGCCCGAAGCTTGTGGAATAAATAACGACTGGATAATTAACGTCGAGTCCGAAATAAAACATCGTTTTTATTCCCATAATGGCTTCGCACGCGTCTAAAAATATTATCCTCGTTATATCCACTGCGCAAAATTGTTCTTGCGAAATACGCGATATTCTCCTTGCGTCGCAACAACCTACTTTTGTTGCGGCTAATCAGAAAACGTATCGTCGTTTGACACTTTTTCTTACTTGATACCGGCTATAGATTTTTTATCGGGGAGCAATTTATTTATAACGCGATATTTACGCTCAAAATGCAAAATTGCAGCGCGGGATTGAACCGTCGTGTAAATGGTAGCACACAGAATCATGCGCACAGAGTTATATGTCTGCAGAGACGACAAATAATCATTATTTGCACGTCAACTGTATAACGGGAATTTATTGAAATTAAATTTAAATTATTTATTATTTATTTATCATCCGAGGCAGTTAAATTGTAATTATGTGGTAATTGAATCAATCAGTTACCATTAACTTCTATTTTATAATAAAATATGTTATTAACTAATAATTATTACCACATCACAAATAAAGTATATAAATTTATCTCCGAAGGGAATTTATCTCTTCGCGAGAGAAGAGCCGCGCTATATCGATGTTAGTTGCAGTCGAAATAAATTCAAGTTCTCAAAACGCGCGTACGTTTTTCTTTCCGAACGCGTGTTTTTCGCGTTACGTATTGTTCGTTTCAACGTGCTATTGGATCGTTGTATGAAGCTCTGAAATCGTTTAAACGTTTAAAAAAGTGCTCCTTTAAACGTACCGATGAAAATGTAAAAAGTCTTAATATATTTATTATTTCATAATGTTCTTTTTTACTCGTAACATATGTTACGAGTTTTCAGTCTTTTTCACTCGGAATTGCTCACGATATCGCCGTGATCCTCTTAAAGAGAAAAGATATGCGGAATGAAATTAAAATTATTTATAGGAAGAGGCTCTTTCTACGTCTTAGCGAATTTATAATAGGGCGAATTTACGACACCATATAACGTTACGATAAATAGTGGAAAGAAACCCGCGACTAGATCACCCCTTGGATCTTTGACTGTCGATATCACGCGACAGACCATTAATTCTGCAAGGGACACTTTCGTCGTGCAGTCATCGACGATGACCGGCGTCCAGGGGGCATTAAATATACCGGACGCATCTGGATACAAAACCCGCGGTATTTGCACGCGACCATTTATAACTGGCCAGTCCTGCCGCCGGCTACTTAGCAGATATTTTACAGTGAAAAGGTGCCCTGCGGGGAAACGAGTTCAAAAGTTCACGTGAAAAACAGCGTCAGGAAATTGCTAGGAAATGGCCGGGAGCAGATAGTCACCCTTTCGACGCTGGCTCGTCCCTCGGTCCTTATAATAACCTAAACAGCTGGAAGAAAGGCCTTTAAAAGGCCAGCACGCGTCAGACTTAAAAAATGTCGACGGTCTCTGGCGGCGAGCGGGTTGGCGTTGCAGAGGAAATTAAGACTTTTCCCCCACACGTATGCGCACTACATACACACACACATGCGTACACACAATTCGCTCTCGACGCTCCACATCGTTCTGTTATCGCTTATTCGAACCTCTCTACCTGTTCGCGTTTTTACGCGAACGCGCACCTCTGATTATTCGCACGGCGGTTATAATTGAAGGAACGAAGATATCGCATTTATGGCGTTTCAAGGTTGTCGGCTGCTCAATCGAATTAATGCTCGCCATGGTGTATTCTCCGCTGTTGCATGTACTATTCATGGGGTGAGTTCATTAAATACTGTCGCGCGAGTAAATTATTGATAGATATGATACAGT